AAAAATATATATATATATATATATATATATATATATATATATATATATATATATATTATAATTTGAACAAAATTGTAAACACGTCTTAGAAACGTAAAACAAATGGATTAATGAGGATTGACGTTAATTTAACTTAAACAAGTGGATTAACATGAATTTAACGTATTTAACTCGAATTGACGTGAACTCAACGTAAAGATCTGATGAATTGACGTGAATTCAACTTAAACAACTAGCTTGACTTGAATTCCACTTAAACAACTAGCGTGACGTGAATTCAACCTAAAATAGGCCTACGCCTAAAATATTTCCACACAATGCCAAAGTTACTACAAAAAAGAAAAGAAAAAAAAAGAAAATAAATTATTAAACCCCCCCCCCCAATTTACGTCAATGTCAGGAGACTACTCTCTCTCTCTTCCATCTCTATCAGTTGTGTTATAATTTGCTTCAAATAGTTTTTCTTGTTTAAAACAAATAAAAATTGAAATTGTCACATCATTATTATCAAGTTTAAAATATTTTGTGTGTGTATGAGAGGGGGGGATGGAAAGTGGGGGGGGGGGGCGGCGCCTGGTGACGCACGTAGGAGTACATTTTGTAATCCGCCTTTGGGGTGTAGTATTTTTGCTCCTTCATGCTTTGCTTTAACCTTATCTTTGTATATTTTCAAATGCCTTGTGCTTATTTGAGACAGAATTCGTAACGTTGCGTGCTCCTTATCAGACCAGGCCTCTGTCTAAGTCTCCACCATGGCTCTGAAATGTTTAATCTGTATATTTCTGATTGGATTGGGTGAGTCTTGTACAAGACTGTGTGTGCATATGTGTGGAGGAGGGGGTGTTGAAAAGTTGAAAGTCTGTTTGGGACATAGAGACCTTATGGCACCTTTTTGATTGTAAAATGAGTCTTATATGTTAGAAGTCTCAAATTATTTTCGTTGTTGCTTCATAACTGTAAAGGACTCCTGGGAAAGGGTCGTTCGAACCCCCAAAGGGGTCGCGACCCACAGGTTGAGAACCGCTGTTCTAATACATAGGTTTAAACAAAATAAACATTCTTTGTTGATTCATGGTTTATCTTGACTGCTATGGAAGGCGTTTAGCCGATATGTCATCGTCATTGTTCTTTCTTTTCGTTTCAAGACAAAACATCTCCTGTTCCACTGTTTCCTTCACATGGCTTAAACGCAGCCGATCATAGAATACCCCATCCCCATCGAAATGTGACATCATTTATAAAAGGACCCAAAATGCTATTGTTTTAGGGTCCTCAGACCTGTGCTGACCTCTAGTTTGGTATTAAGTTGAGGATTTACGCATCAACCGTGCGCCCCACCCTCGTACCAACTTTATAATACGTCAATTTCTCAATGAGCCGTGGACACACTGATATTCATTTTCTAGGACCTCCTGAAGAATATTATAGTTTAGACAAGCTTTTTTTCTGAGCAGGAGTGCATCTTGTTGCATTTACAAATGTTTACACTACTTCAACAACTGCATCTCTCAATTTTACCGCCAAGTTTTAGTTTAACTCATATACATTTAAATTCGCTTACTAACTACATCGAAAGGCTTAAATAAGGCCATCGCATGCACACACACACACACACATACACACACACACACATACATGCGCGCGCATACAGACATGCACGCACTACAGACACGTGCACACTCACACAACACACGCAACCGGACACACACACACATACATGAACTCACCACAAGCGCTGGCACGCACACACATGGACCTAAGGGGTCGTTCGCAAATGACGTCACGCAAAAATTGACCTATTGAAGCCCCCTCCTCCCCCCCCCCGTCACAAAGTATCATACATTTGTTACCCCTCACACCCACTTTAGTGTCCCGTCACATCTAAAAATCACACACACATACATGAACCCACCACAAGCGCTGGCACGCACACACATGGACCTAAGGGGTCGTTCGCAAATGACGTCACGCAAAAATTGACCTATTGAAGCCCCCTCCTCCCCCCCCCCCGTCACAAAGTATCATACATTTGTTACCCCTCACACCCACTTTAGTGTCCCGTCACATCTAAAAAAATTCAAAACATACATAAAATTTTCATAACTAAACTAAGATTTAAATTTTTTAACATTTTCCCCACAATGGATTAAGATGTTGTATTATTAGAAAACTGTGACGTCAAACGCAAAACAAGAAAAGACCACTCCCTCGAGCCGAATGTAAAATGGCGCAAAAGTTTTTGATTCATTTTTCGATATGCGCAGAAGGTGTGCGCGACTGAGTTTCACGGTACATATAACACCTGAGGCAATTTCGACCTCAAATAATTAATTCATGTTTTTAAAATTAACTGAATAAAATTTTTTCAAAATTAGAAAATTTTATATTTTTAAATTGATATATATTTTGTAACGTCACAAATTTTTGCGGCCCTCTCCCGTCACAAAGTGTCACAAATTATCGACCCCCCTCCCCCTGAGCGTGACGTAATTTTGGAACACAAATAAAAACACTTATAATCTCGAGAAAGAAAAAAAAAATAATATAACAGTATAAGTAATACTGTAAACTAAACATTTGAGAATTTGTTCTTAAAAATCTACCTAAGAACGTTCCATGATTTGGTCTAGTGCTCAGTGTCACCTTGGCCCAGGTGACGACAACCCCGTGTAGGCTGGCATGCCCTTTCAACTACATGCCCGTGTGTGGCAGCAATGATGTGACCTATCCCAACCAGTGCGTCTTGGAGTCCACGTCCTGTTTGTAAGTACTGATAATATTCATGCGTGGAGGGGCGCTTACTGTTAACTGCCATGTAAGTACTTACAATAAATCCGTGTGTAAGTGTAAGTACTGGTGATTGTCCTTTGTAAGTAGGGATCATTGTGCTGTGAGTAAGTATACTTATCATGTACATGTGTGTAAGTGTGAGGATTGAA